TTCCTCATGGGTGCATGGTGCAAATACTGATTATTTGTATGCCAGTGTTGAGGGCTGACACACTGGTTGCCAGGAAGGAGAACAGTTCCGCCTTCTTGCCTTCAATGCGCAGAAACTCTGGCCAGTTTCCAGGAATGACACTGGATGGCTCAACGTGTCTATGAACTCCCTTCCCTCTCTTGCTGCGTGTTTCAGCCTTCAGACTTTCGGCGAAATATTCATCCCACACGACATCGACTCTGCTAACATGCTCCAGCTGAGAGCATGTCAGTATGGTGAGAACACTTTCTGTACATAATCAAAAAACGTCTTAGCAGCACCAGGTCATAGCATGTTCACAAGAGCAGCCCCATCAAGGATGATGACCTGTACTGTGGGGTGAGATGCATTCTCTTGTAAATAAATCAGGTCCTCCAAACAGCCCACCAATCTGACTTGGTACCAGTTCTCAGCTTGCCCATTTGTGACAATGATGGTGGCCTTTCATGAGTCTTCTTGAGCCTGGGGCCTTCAGGCGCTGCAGGATTTGATCCATTATGGTGTGTTGTGTGTTACCAATAGTTTTCTTGGTGACTGTGGTCCCAGCTGCCTTAAAATCATTAACAAGTTCCTCCTGTGTAGTTCTTGGCTGATACCTCACCTTTCTCATAATCATCAATACCCCACGGGGCGAGATCTTGTGTGGAGCCCCAGACCGAGGGCGATTGATTGTTGATTGATGCCCTTTTCTTTTTTTTTCATCTCCAAATAATCGCACCAACAGTCTCCTTCTCCCCAAGCTGCTTTCTGATGGTCTTGTAGCCGATCCCAGCCTTGTGCAGGTCTACAATCATGTCCCTGAGGTACTTTGACAGCTCTCTAGTCTTGCCCATGGTGGAGAGGTTGGAATCTGATTTATTGATTCTGTGGACAGGTGTCTTTTATACAGGTAATAAGTTTATATTAGGAGTACTTTCTTAAAGGAAGAGGACTTATTTAACCGCTCTGTGGGATTCAGAATTCTTGTTTTTTGCAAGGGCATCAAATAATTATTTCCCACAGTTAAATACAAATACATTTTTATCTTTTATATAATGTAATTTTCTGGATTTTCTTTTTTATATTCTTACTCTAACTGTTCAAATAAACCTACCATTAAAAGTATAGACTGTTCATTTATTTGTAAGTGGGTGAATAAAAAAATCTAAATACTCCTAACCCTCCACTGTAGGTGTCATACTGGTGCTGTCCAAGTTTCTCAATCTGGTTCAGAGTGTCAATGACTACTGCATCGGCAAGATCTCTAGTATCCAGTACAAGAAGATCTACAATGCCCTTTTCACAGCATGGATTGCCCATGTCTTCTATAGCACCAGTTAGTGCTTTAACATCTCGTGCAAATGCCATTTGTGCATGTTTGGTCTGCTCATGGTGCCGGGTGTCAGTCTTCTTTCTCTTCTCAGTGGAGGCCTCAAACTCTCCATCCACACGTGCCATCTCGGGGCAAGACAGCATTCATCGTCTCGTGGCTTGGTCAATGGCAATGCAGAGAAGCTGCA